CAATGTATGATGAAAAAGTTTTGCAGAATATGGATAAAGAACAGTATAAATATGTATGTTCAGTAGGTATGAGTGTCTTACATGCAAGAGTAACATGGTAAAGAAAAGTAACCATTTCATTGGATTGACTTCTGATGCAATAGAAGAGGAAATGAATAGCTAGAATTTACTGCAAACTTTTCAGAATTGTGGTTAAGATTCCAGCCTGGGTGTAAGATTGGACTATGTTATTTCTTAGGTTGTTCTCACCCTAAAATTATATGACACTGTGACATTTTAACATTAGAATCTGTATCTAGTTGGAATGAAAGGAATATACAGAATGTCAGATTCACCTATTCATATTTTAATTTGAGTTTCATGTTCTACAGAATATCTCTGGTTAGTCCTTTTTATACAAACTGCCATGAGTTTAGTAAAACATACTTACCAAGAATAAACTTTCTTAGAATCAAATGGTTCTTTTAAGATTTTGTCTTATTTTCCAGGTTTGATATTACTGGGCTTTTACCAGATTCACATGAGGATGAACCTGGAATTAAACAGGCAGCTGAAAATGGTAAGTATAGAAAATTTTTAAAAAGACAAAGCATTCTTAAATGTTTTTAGTAGCTTCATTGCTTGTATTGATACTGATTAAATATTAAATGGGTATCTGGTCTCAGGAAGTAGTGCTGTTTCTATCCTTTTTGGTCACTGACTAGCTTGTTTGCCATGATGTCCACATGGACTCAGCTGTCTGTGGTCAATGGAGGTGAGCTGGGTGGGGAGGAATGGTAGCTGTCATGCTTCAGCTCTGTCAGATATATCACAATTCTTCTTTACTTTATATCTGCAAATGGAGAAAATAGCAGAATGTTTAATAGTTATGCCCAGTTATCTTCATTAAGGAGATTTGAAGGATGAAAATAATGATGTAATGATAATAATCAATGAAAATGATAATGGTTAATCATAATGGTTAATAATAATCAATGAAAATGATAGTGGTTTAGTGTGGTTGATAATAATAGATACTACTGATTAAGCACTTAGCTATTTACAAGCTAGGTGTTTCTTGTAGATTACCTCATTTTACAGCCCTGTGAAGTATTTGCTCTGCTTTACAGAATCTCCAAAGCCTGTTCTCTGGTTAATATTACATTCTCCTTTATGAACATGATAATTCTGTTGGTTTTGTGGGTGAAAACCTAAAGAACACTAACTTGCTGGGAGATAACCTAGTTTTTAAAAATGCGTGGAAGCGTTCTTTTCTTTTACATGTATGTACTAAAAGATTTCCCAATGTGAGACCAGGATTGACCTCAGAATAATCTGGGTGGTAACTCCTGGGTATTTGTGGGTGGGAATTGGCAAAACAGATTTGGTCATGAATAGGTAGTTGCAGAACTGAGGCAGTGTGTACCTGGGGAGTCAGTACCCTGCCCTTTCTGCTTTTATATTTGTTTGAAGTTTTCCAAAACAGATTAAAAACCAAAAGCCAGTAAGATCCTTTTAATCTGTTTTAAAAGAACTATTAAGATCTTTGAAGCAGGGAAAATACATTCAAAAGACATCAGATGTTTGGGAAAGTCAAACTAAGAACGCTGACTTTTTGGATCATCAGGAAGTAGATCAAAGCTAGAATCTTAGAGCTAAGATTTTGTCTAAAAATAACTGATGACAACAATATGTACTCAGGTATGGGAGTGAGTGCTAGATTCTGTGGAAGACGGAGGGGCTGGGCCCTGTGGAGAAGACAGGGGGGCCTGGTGAGTTCCAGGATGGAAAATTCTGTCCTATGGATAGTGTTGGCCTATGAACAACTTGTCATTTCTTTCCTCTCCGAAGTGATGAATTATTGGAGAGAATTAGGATCAGAGTTAGAGCTAAGAAAAAAAGACCAAGAGAATGTGCTGCTCAACCCAGAAGGGTGTGCTCAGGTTAGGTTCTCGGGAGTACATAGTGGCCTGGCCTTTAGGTAAAAAGTGATTGAAACTAGAACTCACTACTCCACAGTTGGCTGCTGTCATTGTAGTTGTTAAAATATCTTTAGCTCAGCCAGTTGGTGTAATCACTACTCCACAGTTGGCTGCTGTCATTGTAGTTGTTAAAATATCTTTAGCTCAGCCAGTTTACTCCATAGGGAGTAAAGCTTTGTGAAACTGAGGGAAAATAGTCCCTGAAGCTCACACGCACCAGGCCCCAGCACATTCCCACTCCTCCCCACCCTCCCCACAGCTGGGCTGTTTCTGCCCCTTCTGCATCTTCTTGTCTCCAGCTGGAGCTTTGCAGTCTTCCCTAAATAGATCCCTCATACATGTCCTCAACAGTTCCTTTATTTCTTAAGCCTCCTGTACTGGTCCCTAACCCATTGTTCATGCCCCAGTTGGAGTACCCCTTGCTTTTCACACTAATTTCAACTAAGAACTAACCTTTATATAAAAAAAATAATTTTTAATTTGGACATTTTGTTTTTGTTTTTAAGACTAGCCAAGTGCAGTAGTGATAAGAGGGGGAGAGAAGAACTAGGAGTTTGATCTATGACTGTGAACAATTAATTGAGAGAACTCACTACCTTTGGACCAGCCTGAGCATTTGTTTTGTTTTTTTTTTTGTCCTTTTTTTGTGACCGGTAAGGGGACTGCAACCCTTGGCTTGGTGTTGCCTGCCCCGCGCTCAGCCAGTGAGCACACCGGCCATCCCTATATAGGATCCGAACCCGCGGCGGGTGCGCCGCTGCGCTCCCAGCATCTCACTCTCCCGAGTGCGCCACGGGCTCGGCCCAGCATTTGTTTTTTTTGTAGTGTTCTAATAAAAGCAGATTTGGGGTTTTTTTTGATAAACAAGGAAATATAAAGTTGGAAATTTTGATCTTAAAAAGTTGAGACTTTGCTCATATCTAAAAAATAAAAAGATAAATTTTTAAAAGGTACAGTTATTCCAGAAACCCAGGACTTATTATGAAGAAAAAGGGAATTAATTCCAGGAGTTATCAAGTTTTATAGTTATATGATGTATATCAAAGTATTTTGCAGAAATAAAAGTACTCAATTTTTATGCAATCATTTACTGGCCGTAGGAAATATTAATGTTGTGATTTTGTTTTTAATAGAAGAAACAGTTATTTTTTTTTTTTTTTTGTCCTTTTTTGAGACTGGCCGCACCGCGCTTAGCCAGTGAGCGCTGTGAGCGCACTGGTCATCCCTATATAGGATCCGAACCCACGGCGGGAGCGCAGCCGCTCCCAGCGCTGCACTCTCCCGAGTGCGCCACGGGCTCGGCCCAGAAGAAACAGTTTTAAACACTGTAAATCATAAACCATGTAATCCACTTCATTACATACAGTTTTAAAATGACAGCTTTTAGGTACAAATGCCTCTGGCTCATTGAAGAGAGAGAAACATAAAATGTGTATGAGCAGAATTAATTATAGATAAAAGAATATCCATCTCTTGATGAGAGAAAGAACAACTGTTAGAAGGTAAATAATAATAAATTATTGAAGTTTTAGTTTAAGCAGCACCTGCAAAATCTGAGAAATTTCATAATGAAAATACATTCTAATTTTGTATTTTGATGCGTGCTTCAAGTTTTCAATCATTTTTACCTTGAATATACGTCATGCTTTTCTATTATTAATTTATTCTTATTTTGAATTGTATCAATGGGCTTAATTTTGAAAGTATTGATGATTAACTTTCATGTTTTTAGTAAAGGCTTTGATAGATCAAGAGGTGAAGAATGGCATTCCTTCTAACAGAATTATTTTGGGAGGATTTTCTCAGGTAAGATAATATTTGGGTGGTATATCAGTAACATCAGTATATTTATCTGGAAGTCTGTGGTATCAATCCTTTTTCTATGGAGGAGTTCTTTTTTTAGAAGATGTTATGGATTCTTGACTGATATTCTTATCTTTAATGCGAATTAAGTTTGGATGGACTAGAAGTAATTAGTTTGTATTTCATACACTTGATTGCTTTTCTAGTTTTCTATCTCTTTAGTGGTAGCCTTCACCTTATAGATTGCTTTCAAAGTCAGTTTATTAAGTAAATTGATTGAAACCCGGAAGATATTTTCTTAACCGTAATACACATGCAGTTAGGTTTCTAAGTTACCATAGTGTACCCCTTTAATTAAACAGAACTCTAATAACACAGGTGTAAATCCCTTGTTCTAGGAGGAGACTACTGATAGGAATAGTAAGAAGACGAGAGAATTTCTTTCCTTTTTATGTGAAGTAGGTTTTATATATAAATATGTGATGCTTATTTTTGACACATTTCTCCCTCTCTGCACTTTTTCTCCTATCTTCTATACTTTTTCTACAGACACTGTTTTCTCATATTGACTTTATATCTTTAGTTTATCACCCATTCCCAGAATGCTCTAGTGTGTTATTTATAGACCTTCTAAATCAACAAGTTATTGTTCAGACTACCTTAATTAGGGAAATGTCAGAATTCTGGAATCATTTAGAAGATAGAATCCAATAGAAAGATAAGTTGTTGGGCTGGTGGTTAGCTCAGGTGGTTACAGTGCCATTTTGTAATACCAAGGTCAAGGGTTCAGGTCCCCTTACCGGCCAGCTGCCAAAAAAAAAAAAAAAAAAGAGGAAGAAGAAAGATAAGCTTTTGATATAATACACTAAAAAGGTGTTATGGATTTGATATTCATTGAAATTAACAGATAATGTACATTGTGACATAAACATGGGGACAAATATTATGTTTGACTCAAAATAGGTGCACATAGGAGTCTGTATATTTGAGATTCATTGCTGATAGTGTACAGAAACCAACTCCTAATACCTTAAGCATGAAGGAATAAGTTACAAGTCCGTGGCATCATATCAAGGAAACTGAGCCTGAAGATGAAGCAAGGCCTCAGGAAGTAGCCAAGACATGGGAAGTCATCAGAACTTTCTCTCCGTCTTTTATTTCTGTTTCTCTGCTCACCTGCTTCATTTGCCTTCGATCAGTGGTTGGCCATCTCAGCTTTTGTAGCTCAAAGCTTTTCCAGCTCTTGAGTTTGCATGTTACATTTCCAGTCACACAAGGAGACTGACTGGCAGTCTCTGAATCTCAATTCCACAGTTCTGGGAGAAAGAACATCACTGGGGTGAGAAAGAATCTCATGTGGCGCAGTGACCCATAGGGAGGGTCAGAGTGATGGGGCATCTAGATGGCTGACAGGAGCACAGCTCCCAGAATGCAGGGTGTGGTTAGCAGGGTAGGCAGATCTCTAAAGGTGTCTGCTGTGTAGTCCTTATGATCTTGAATTCCTGTTTTAGAAAATAATGCCACTTTAAGATTAGATTGGATGTTATGCCAAAGACTTTTCAGAGGAGAAAATGATAACTGTAAATTCAGAATATTCCTAAAGCATGTTGTAAATCCAGCAGTTTACTGTTAACTGTATCTCAATTCATCAGTCAGTGGGTATGTTCTCTTTGGTGTAGAGAACGTCCTTTAGGACACGGTAGGGTGTGTGTGGGTTTCCACTATTTGCCTGATTTTACTTATCAGCCACCCAGTTTGATTTTTTTATGAACATCATTAAAACAAGATAGCTGTTAAGTTCCTGTTGGCAGAGTTGTGTTCCATTGACTTTCCCTTCTTGTCTTTCCAGGGAGGAGCTTTATCTTTATACACTGCTCTTACCACACAGCAGAAACTGGCAGGTGTCACCGCACTCAGTTGCTGGCTTCCACTTCGCGCTTCGTTTCCACAGGTAGCCTGGTTGATGCACACAATATGAGATTACCAAGCTAAAAGGTAGCAGATATGTTGTGGAAAGAGTAATCCTTTTTTTTTTTAATTAATAAGCTTTATTTTTTCGAGCAGTTTTAGTTCACAGCAAAATTGAGCTGCAAGTACAGAGTTCCCTTACGCTCCTGTCCACACACATGCACAGCCTCTCCCACTATCAACATGCCACAGCACAGTGGTACATTTGTTACAGTCTGTGAACCTGCACTGACACATTATTGCCACCTAAAGTCCATAGTTTACATCAGTCAACCTTTTTAAAAGAATTTTCTTAGACTTTTGTGATGTCTTACTAGACTTTAGTCTGTACAGGCTTTAAGCTATGTACTGTTTTTACTGTGGATTGCATAGAATGGAATAAGAAATAGCCTTATATTGTTATAAATCTTACATTTGAAGGGTTTAATACATTTTAGGATATATGTGAAAATTAGGGCTAGTTTTAACACATAGAAATAATATTTTTGAATGTTCAGTATATGCAGTGTTTGATAGCAGAATTTTAGCACAGAATAGAATTTCTAAATATTCAACAGTGAAGCAATATAGCACACCTGAGGGGTGTGGCATTACTTTATTTTCAAATTCATTTTTAAATCTAGGTTTTGTCTTGTCGCTATGTAGTAACTCTTTGGTGTCTTGTGCATAGTAGTTATCGTTTATTAGTCCTCTTATTTAAATCAGTTCAATAAAAGCTGAGGAGAACATGATTTACCTGATTCATGCTTATAGTCATTGATTACCTCTCATGTCAAGACACTGAAAATAGAAAGGTGAAATTAGATATAATCTGCTTCAAGGAGCTGATTCATTGGGAAGACATAATACAAGGTAGGGTGATCATACATACTATAGAAGTTTCAAAAAAGGGATGGGGGATTATAGGGATGAAAGGAATTTTATGTCTTTGTCCAAACATAACCTATATTGTAGGTTACAATACAACATGTTGTATGTGTGTATCTAATCTACAGTTTTAAATGCCTGGCATAATGCTCTATGCATCTGACTAAATAATACTATTTTGTTTTGTTTTTTCACAGGGTCCTATCAGTGGTGCTAATAGAGATATTTCTATTCTCCAGTGCCATGGAGATTGCGACCCTTTAGTTCCCCTAATGTTTGGTTCTCTTACTGCTGAAAAGTTAAAAACTTTGGTAAATCCAGCCAATGTAACCTTTAAAACTTACGAAGGCATGATGCACAGTTCATGTCAACAGGTAAGTATCTTGAAGCATTGACCAGAACCATAGTGGCAACTTCTTCCATGTGATAGTTTTAAGATAAATAAATAACATTTGACTGCTTGGGAATTTAAAGGAATTAATTGATGAATTCATATTGAACCATAGATTAGCAGGTCATTAAAGTTTATTCAATTTAACTCAACAAATATCTACTGATTACTTATTACATGATTCAAAGCTAAATAGTAAACATTCCCTTTTATTAAAATTTATGATAGATTAATTAAAATTTAATAAGGAAGAAAGATGTATATCCAAGTAACTGTATGGAAAGCAGAATATGATGTGAGTTGTGTTACAAGTTTTTAAAAAGTACCCTGAACCCTGTAGTGGCCAGCTGTGAAATAATAAATAAATAAATAAAAAGTACCCTGAAAAACTGAGAAGGGTGAGATTAATATTATCTTAGGATGAAAGAGCTAGATTTTGAAGAATGGGTAGGATTTGGATAGTGAGTGTGCAGAGAATGGACTACAGGACAGGAAAACAAGCTGTCCAGTTTATGTCTTATGAAAAGCTGGGTCTCATAGGTCAGAAGACACAGGGAGCAGAGACTCAGTTATGGAGAGCTTTTACGTTGTGCTGAGGGAGACTTGTTCTCTAGGCAGCAGGAAGCCATCGACATTTTTGATTGAAGGGAGATGTGATCTGATCTGCATTTTGGAGACAGATGAGACAGAATCCAGTAGGGTTTAGAAATTAATTCTATGGGGTAAGAAAGTAGGTATGAGAGAGGCCTCAGATTTATAGCTCAGATGACTAAGAAGATGCCATCATAAAGTAGGTACAGGAGGGGTTTTCACGTAACAGAAAGGAGATAAAATCCTGGGTTTAGTGAATGTATTTGAATTGTTGTACCCTCATGATATTAAGATAGGATGTTGGAAATACTTGTCTGAAGCTCAACTCTATAAATAAAGACTTGGGATTATTACCAGTATCATTGATTAGAGAAAAATTATTGTGGAAGAACATCATGAGAAAAAAAACAGGGATAGAACTTTGGGGGGATACATTTAGATTTAGACTAAGGAGAAAAGGAGTTAGATGTTGAGAGTATGGGAGGAGAGAATTTCAGAGTGGTGGGAGCAGTGGCATATGTTTCAGAGGAGGATTAAGGAGAAATAGACCAGGAGGAAACCATCCAGTATTAAGCCACTGTGTGTTTGGATGTTTGAGGAGGTAGAGACAAACTGCAGTGGATTATGTGAAGTGGATAGGGAAATGAGGAAGTAGAGACGACATGTGCAGACTTTTCTGAAAAGGTTTTGGTAAAAAGGGAGAAGAGGTAAAAGGGAAGTCTCTTTTGGTAAAAAGGGAGTCTCTTTTAATGAGATGGGAGAAAGACCTGTGAGTCCAGTGAGGGAGGAAGAAGATGCAAAAAAAGGAGACGACATGTGCAGACTTTTCTGAAAAGGTTTTGGTAAAAAGGGAGAAGAGGTAAAAGGGTAGTCTCTTTTGGTAAAAAGGGAGTCTCTTTTAATGAGATGGGAGAAAGACCTGTGAGTCCAGTGAGGGAGGAAGAAGATGCAAAAAAAGAGACGATAATTCATAGGGAGAAATCTTAAAGGGATCATATAATAGAATTAAGTCCTGCAATGGGTAGTGCTTGCTTTAAAAGAGGAGAAAATCACTTTTAAATCAAGAAAGAAGAGGATGAATGAATATAAACAGAAGGTGTCAAGATGGAGAAGAGAGTACTTGGGAGCACACAGATGCTCTTTATCTTCACTAAAGTGGGCGATGTGTTCACCTGATAAAAATGAAGGGGCCTGGATAGGGTTGGAAGCTTGAAAAGGCCTAGAATAAAGATTGATTGCTAAGCAGTGAGGTGGTCCAAGCTAACACTGTTTTACAACCACTCAGCCTAGTTAAATCATTTGCTTTAGGGATAGAGAAAGTGGTAATAATTTTATTTATTCAGAAAGACAAGGGGGCCTGGAATCGTAGACTGTCCCCTACTGATATAAAGTACTGATTCCAGAAGTGTGAGAGAGGGGAGGTGCTGAGGGTCTGGAACAGTGGCTTTTCTTATGCGATTTGCATCACAAGTACCCTGGAGCTTCATAAAGCTCTATAGATGAGTCCTTGTGCAGCCACATTTGAGGACTGAATGAGCAGGAGCAAAAAGTGAGGAGAGGCGGGACAGCAGGAGGGTGTTACAGGAAACTTTCAGGACTTCAGGCATTGTAAAATAAGACAGTTTCATGCTGTGGCCCCTTTCTGAGTGACTAAGTTGTAAGGTCAAAGGTTCCCTGCATTGCTATTTTGTGGCAGTGAAGCTAAGGCCTTCATATACAAGAGCTGATAGCAGGAGGTAGATTTCAGAGATGCGTGAAAACTGTGAGCCAGATGCAGGAGGACTCCAGGAGAGGGTTTCTTCTATCATCAATCTTTGGTGTATTCATGTTCACATATTTCGAGGCCTATCTTAGGTATATGCTCTCTTTCAAATGGTTAGTTGTATATATAATTCCTTATGAATGGTATAAAATAGTTTATGCTATGGATTTAGCATTTCCTTTTAATGAGGGAATGGTAAAAGATAGGCCTTTCACTGATACTTAGTTATAATTGTACTTACACTGAGAAGTCTCAGTAGGTACTGTCACTTTTAAATCTCCCCACCCCCCAACGTTTTATTTTGTTCAAGTATAGAAAATGCAGATCATTTTCATGGAATTAGATAGGAGCTGTTATTTCAACGTACAGTACTAATCATCATAGAAAATACTGTGAAATTTCTGTTGGACCCTCATTTTTATGTCTTTTTATTTAATTGTACAAATGTGTTTTCACCTTACCTATGCACCATGGATTTAGTTAGTGGCATTTTAGTGGGGATTTAATTTCTGATTTATATAACTACTTATTAAATCACTTTATTCCAAACAGGAAATGATGGATGTCAAGCAATTCATTGATAAACTCCTACCTCCAATTGATTGATGTCACTAAGAGGCCTTGTGTAGAAGTACACCAGCATCATTGTAGTGGAGTATAAACTTTTCCCGTGCTCAATCTTGAAAATTCTTTTTGCAGTGTTAAAATGTTTTGCAAATACACGCCAATGACACAGACTAAATAATGTCTCCTCATGGGAAATTTATGATCTTTTAAGTTTCTATACATGTTATTTGTATATGATCCAGAATATACTAGTATTAAAATAGGTGAAGCAGCTAGCTTCTTTTTCTCAAATGTAATTCAGCAAAATAATACTGCAACCAGATTTTTTATTACATCATTTGAAAATTACTAGTATGCTTAATGAAAATTTGTTCAGGTATAAATGAGCAGTTAAGATACACATGATTTATGCATGCTGTGACTTAGTCTATGGATTTGTTCCAAAATTGCTTAGTCACCATGCAGTGTTTGTATTTTTATATATGTATTCATATATATGTGAATCTGATTGTAATACATAATAAGAATGAGATGGTATTACATTATTCCTAATAATAGGGATAATGCTTTTAAGTGTCAATAAAAAGTAATAATGCTTCCTTCAATTAATGGCCCTTTTGTTTTGGGGACCAGGCTTTTCTTTTCGCTGACATCATTTCTGCTTTGTATTCTTTTCTCTGGTAAGGAAAAACAGTGTGTTCTTTCTTTATTGTCCTTCATAGCAGACCAAATATTGCCTCCCTGCCATAGATACCTACTGTTGATACATGCTGTTGTTTGACATTCTGAATCACAGACATGATATTAAAATTTATTTATATTTTACAAAGAAACCAGATATTACTTAAAACTTCCTGCACCGCTTATTTCAAGTAACTGTACCTTTGTCCAAATTTACACCTATTTGGTTTTTAGAATCTTTAATCCAGGTAACAGAGGAATAATTCGGTGGTTTTATTTTTCTGCAATCAACTGAAAGGATAATTAGGTCATCTTCTAGTATGTTTTGAAATATTTAAGACTGATCTTCAAAAACTAATTTCTAAGATGATTTGGTATCTTTGTAGCATAGAGTTTAAGTTTACTTATTTTGTACATATGTTTGAAACCAACTACTGTAGAAAATCAGCAATCCATTAGAAAATTTTGGTTTACTTTTATCTGCCAGTAAACTTATTTGAAATTTTCACTTTAGTCAAAATTTTGTACATATGTTTGAAACCAACTACTGTAGAAAATCAGCAATCCATTAGAAAATTTTGCTTTACTTTTATCTGCCAGTAAACTTATTTGAAATTTTCACTTTAGTCAAATGATTTTTTTTTTCCTTTTTGTCTTTTTTACTGACCGGTAATGGGATCGCAACCCTCGGTGTCGCGCCCGTACCGGGGACCGGCAATGGGATCGCAACCCTCGGTGTTGCGCCCGCACCACGCTCAGCCAGTGAGCGGGAACCGGTCTCCACATGGGATCCGAACCCTCGGCGGGAGCGCTGCTGCACTCCCAAGCGGCGCACTCTCCAGTGCGCCACTGGGCCAGCCCTAGTCAAATGATTTTTTAAATTAGGTTTTTTAGCAATCGTTTTATTTTAAATAGTCAAAATTTCCAGATTAATGACCCATCCAAACCTATTTTTCTACAGTTTCTAGAATTTGAAATGAGTGTTAAATTGTATCAAATTTGGGGCAGTTATTGAAATGGTCATTGTTTTTCTCCTTTCAACTATTAAATATAGGGAACTTATAGAGAAATTTTGATGATAATGTGGTTGGCTTGGAATGGAATCAGGCATGAGAAATAATCTCATTCAATTTTAATGTGCTAAAAAAAAAAATTCTAAATTTGATTTTCAGTGTCCCTAATCTATTTAAGAAGTTTTATTTGGTGTTTTCCTTTTTTCTTTTTCTTTTTCTTTAATGTAGTATTCACTGAGATTTTAAAATTAGTATTATATGGCAGTTATAAGAATAGTTTTTTCCTTTTGTTTCACCATTGACTTCTGACTTTTCCTGGTACAGGAATCCTTTCTGTTCTATTAAGCTGTCTGTCCTTCAGTTTCTGCTTTTAAATACTTAAAGTGATCAACCTGCCTTTTTGTGAGTCTGCTTATTTTATTTTTGAACAGTGCTAATGGTAAGAGGACTTTTTTTTTATACCAAAAGTATTATCTCTAACTTCAATTCATTTTTAGATTTATCCTCCACAGCAGTACCTTACTTCAGGTGATAATCTTTATTTCATCATTCTTTTAAAAATACTGTGTTCACAATTAGATGTGGTCAGAGCTTGTTACTGTTAACTACCTACCAACAGATAACAATACTTTTATGTATATATAAATAATTGGAAAATTTGCCTACTATTGCAGTCAGTCTTACTGATGTTTTCCAACAGTAAATATGTGACATATTTGCCACCCTTCTAACAAGTACCATTTTAATTTGTAGAAATTACTAAAAAGTACAAATGCAATTTGTTAACTACTTAATATATTCCAAGCATTGTACTAAGCATTTTATCTCCTTCATTCATATAATCCTCTTGTTGACTTTATCTCCATTTTACAGAAGAGGAAACTGATGTCTAGAGAGGTAAACTGTTTGCCTGTGATTACAGAGCTATTAACATGCAAGAACCAGGATTCAAATTGATGTGCCTTGGGCTGGCTGGTTAGCTCAGTTTTTTAGTGAGGCCTTGTAACACCAAGGTTAAGGGTTCAGATCTCCATACTGACCAGCCACCAAAAACAAAAGACCAAATTGTGCCTAACTCCATGGTCTATACTACCTTACTCTATACCCCAGTGGGGTAGTTTATATGCTTTTAAACACAAAAAAGTATATTTCATGTAATACAAAACACCTAGAAATGCTAAGTAAAACTGATGAAAACCGGCTCATCATTAAAAAATTGTGATCTCCACTGGCCAGAAAAAACTAAAAGGAAACTAAAAACCCACCAGGCATACTTATACCTTGGGACTCAGGTGAGGTAAGGTGTGGAAATAATTCACCATTATAAAGCCAGGACTCCTTTTAAGGGCTGCATACAAGGGGAACTAAAAAAAATCTGATGCCCAACACAGGGAAGTAAAGAGAAGCTTGTCTATTTTGGCCTGGGCTCTGGATTGGGTAAATTCACATCACAAATCTCCCTGGACTGGCTCTACTGCTCAGGCACCTGGAAGAAGCAAACAGAAATACTTTATAGAGAATGACGTACTCAAAATTTAAATTTTGAGGCTACACAAATTTAGTCCTGTCAAAAGTTAGCTCAGTGCCCCTAGATTACAAGCCATATGAGGGAATGGCCTACCTACCACAAATGAATACCAGATAACAAAAGATAAAAGGATGATTAGAGTCCCAGGAACTTTAAGAAATAGAATTTTTAGGGCCGGCCCGGTGGCGCACTGCTACAGTGCGCCGCTTGGGAAGTG